CCAAGAGAGGTGTGGAATGAGACAGGGCCACTCCCCCCCAACTCCCACTAATCCCCCCTAGATTCCGGAAAATCCGGCCGGCCCGGCGTGAATCAATGCCAGAGGCGCAGGGTTTCTCACAGCTTGGGGGAGGGTCGCCCCTGGAATGGCCAAAGGGTTCCTTGAGTTGCTTTACCCCCTGGGGTCCCTGATGTATGACTCAGTTTTCCCCACTGACCCCGCTACACCTCCAAAAGAAATCTCAGAGTTGTAAGGGGAGCAGGAGGGCGGTCTAGTCACCCCGCTGCCCTCAAGACCCAGGGATTTTACCGCCCCTAGGAAGGGGAGGAGTCAGAGGTCCGGCTAGGATAGGGGGAAATTTCTGGGGCTTCCAGGGCTGAAGTTAGAGGTGGGGGAGCCTCCTCGCCCTGTGCCGGGAGTGAGCTGGGGGAGGCCTAGGAAGGGACTCTGATTCGCAGCCCCCTCCCCTTTCATGAGTGTCTCAAGTCCCTAGGTGTAGATTAAAGACGACGGAAAGAGCCGTGAGGATTTTCAGATCCCACGTGGGGATGAGGGTGACCGGAGGGTCCCCTCCCGCTCCCAACCGGACAGGCGGGCGGCGGGCAGAAACCCAGGGGCGGTAAGATAAGCCGCCCGCCCGGCCAGGGCGCTCAAAATAGGTGACCTCTCCCGGCCGCCCCGGCCTGGTCCCAGATTACTTCTGCAAGCTCACTCTCAAGCCCATGCCTCAGTATCCCTGCCGCGCCAGCAAGCTCGCACTTCGCCCTGGGCGTGCACTCACACTCCCAGAGAAACTCCGAGAGGGGGCGGAGGGTGGAGGGCGGAGACCTAGGGGTCGGTGTTAGAGAAAGCGCGGAGCCCCCACTAAGGTACTCTGGGGACAAAAGGGGAGACCCCAACAAGTGTGAACTTGGAGCCCGGTCGACTGGACTCACCCACAGTTCGGTGCCCCAATCCATGCTGCCCCGCGCCGCCGCCTACACCGCCGCACCCGGTCCCGGTAGCCCGCCGCCCTCCGCAGGGAGATTCTGCGGAGGGCGGAGCACTCGGGCCCGTCCCGCCCTGGCCCGCCCCCTCTAGCCTAAGTCACGCCCCCTCCCGCGCGGAGCACAGCTTGGAGCTCTAAGTGCTGGGGGCCTCCCAAGGAGGCGGAGCGAAATGGAAACTGCACCACCTCTTAAAGGACCCGAGCCACCCGACGCCACTGGACGGACCCCTTAACGAACCCCCAGTCATTTTCCAAATCCCGGGAGTCCCCTTCTCATCATGCCACCTTCCTCCTCCACCCTAAACCGTTCTTCTTTTCCCCTCATCCATTACTTAAAAGGCCAAGACACTAAAAACCCTCAAACGCAAGAAGTTCTTTCCCACCCTGTCTCAGGGAGAAACCGAGGTCACCTGGCTCTTGCGGGCCGGCCCGGCTCCAGGCCTCTACGTTAGTCCCACTAATGGTCTGGTCCCTCCGACCACAGGGTAGATGGAAGAATTTCGATTTTGCCCAGTACACGCCTCTGCCAACGTCCCTCGGTCCATTAACTCCCGCACCACATCCTGCCTCCCTCAGCCCGAGTCTCCACTGGGAAACTGAGGACGGGCCGTCCTTGGGGCGCCGGGCCCAAGGCTTTCGCCGGCCGCCATCTACTTCGCGCCTGCACCTGCTCATTTTCCAATCTCACCCATTACGTCTAATCTGGTTTAATTACCAGTGCTGCCCTGAGGTTCCGACTCTGTCCTTGCCTCTCCCAGACGCCGGAGCCGTGGGGCATGGAAGTCGGTCACCTCCCCTATAAAAAATCTGTTCACAGCTCGTAAATCCCTTTGAGGCTCCAGGATGAAAGGAGAGAGAGAGAGGCACCCAGCGACTCCTATTCCCATTCCTTCTTGCCTTTGGCGCTTTCTTATAGCTACAGATGTCTTGCTGGACCTGGGATGTGTCCCCCGGGGAGGTTTCCCTTACACAGAGCTCCCAGGCTCCTGGTACAGAGATACCCGGGGAGCCCCAGGGACCCCACACTGGGATTGATCGCTCTGCTGGGACCTGGCCCCACCTGCTGGTGGCTTCTGGGCTAGAAAACCTCCATGTGCAAAGTGTGCTGTGCTCCAAGTGGATTCAGTGGCTCAGTCTGTCTGTGTTTAGGGCTCAGTCCAGTAAAGTTCTGAGTTCAGCTCTGATTAGCGATTCAGACTGGGGAATTGGGGTTCTCCAAGTCATTGGGATGGGTCCTCAGACTGGGGTCGGGGACTTAGCAAGTGTCAGCAACCCCGTAAGGGATCAGGGACTCAAACTTTGGACCAAGAGTCTGGATTAGTCTGGAGTTAGGGCTAATACGAGGAGATGGGCTAAACCAGGGTTTAAGGTGGGGGGGGGGTTGAACGGGGTAGGTCGAGGGGATTACGGTTTCAGGTTGAAGTTTTAGGGCTTATTTGCAGACAAGGGGGTCCACCTGGGGTGAGGTCTCAGCCGAAAGTCGAGTTTATCCTGAGATCGAGGGTTGGGTGGGAGAGCTTCCAATTGCCTCACTCTGGGGTAGTAGGACGCTTAGCCTAGGGCTGGGAACTCAGCGTAGGGTCATAGGTCATTTTAGAATCAGATTTATCCTCGGGCTAGGTTTAGCCCTCTCTTTGGACCCGAAAGATAAAGAAAACAGGACAGGCCTCAACTGCTGCATGTGTTTACCGAAAGCCTGAGCTCTGGCCTGGAGCCCCATCCCTGGGGCGGGGAGTGGGGGAGTTCGTCCTTGGGGATACTGGGAAACGTAGTTTACTTAATGCCTTGTCGAACTTGTCTGCTCCCTTTGCATTCCGGGTAATGTAATCCTGGACCGTTGAGAGTAGGGGAAGGAATTCCGCTTCCAGGGGCTAGATATCAGATCCATCACAATTGGTTAAATAAACTGTTTATCAAATTACATCCGGGGAAATCTTTCTAGTGATTGGTGGGAGTGGAGGCGGGGTTAAGCAGGTTTGCTCTCCCATTCGGTCCTAGTGATGTCCATCTGCCGCCGTCTTGCAGCAGCTGTACCCCTCCTTGCGGCGATTGGCTTATCAGTAGGCGGGCTTGGGCCTCAGAGGCGGTATCCAGGGAGGCGGTGGCTCCAGAGATGGCAGTGAGCGAGAGGAGGGGGCTCGGTCGCGGGAGCCCGGCGGAGTGGGGGCAGCGGCTACTTCTGCTGCTGTTGTTGGGCGGCTGCTCCGGGCGCATCCACCGGCTGGTACTGACGGTGAGACCCATCGCGTGGCGGTTGGAGGCGGAGGCCCGCAACTTTGTCCCGGAAGCCCCTGGCTTGGAGTGGTCTCGACCAACCTTCCCCGCTTCGTGCGCGTGATGGAGCGGTCCGGCGCCCCTTCGTTTTCAGACCCGAAGTGGTCTCGTCCTAGGATCCCCCGCAGTCCTTGGGATGGAGTTGCCGGGCGGGCCACGCGGGGGTCGCGCCCCGCCCGTCGGAGGCGGAGCTCCGTCTCAAGACCCCTGGAGTCTTAGCCCTTTAAATTTATGCAATCATTTTGCGGCCTCCCGGGACTCTTGACGCCTTTCGTGGGGAGCCGGGGACTCCTGGGGGTTCTGGAGTGGGTTCCCCTTGGGAGCTCATTGGGATCTTGAGGGCTCAGTTGAAAGCTCAGCACTCTAGGGGAGCTCGTTTGCAACCTAAAAAAATCCCAGGAGGTGAAAGCCAGGAACACCGAAGTGAATAACTAGTCTAGGGTGGTACTCACCCGGTGGAGGCGGGGGAGGGGGGCGGGGGGGGCGTCAGGTGCCACAAGATTTCCCTTACTGTGCTTTCTGAACAGCGGCCAGAAAACTTCAGGGAACCGGGCACCCTAACTCTTTCTTGTCATTCTGTGTGGCTGTTCTAAATAAAGGGGTCCCAGGAGGCCCTTGGTGGGCGTGGGAGAGGGTGTCTCATGCCTCGAGTCCTTAGGGCTGGTCTGGTGGTGAGAAGTCTGAGCCGCTTCTACCTCCTTGGTCTGCCGGTAGGGGGAGAAGCGAGCAGACATCCAGCTGAACAGCTTCGGCTTCTACACGAATGGCTCCCTGGAGGTGGAGCTGAGCCTGCTGCGGCTGGGCCTCCAGGAGGCAGAAGAGAAGTCCTTGCTGGTGAGGGGGTTTGAGGAGATTGCTGGAAGAGGACAGAGTACACAACCTTCACACACACACTTCCAGTTCTGGGTTCCCTTTCTAGCTCTTCTTTGTACTCATGTGATCTTGGGCAAGTCCCTTGGTTTTTCTGAGCTTCAGTTTCCTCATATGTTACCTGGCAATAATAATAATGTCTTATGCAAAATGTACTAGGCGCTTTTCTTTTTATTTTAGAGACAAGGTCTTCCCGTGTTGCCCAGGTTGGGGTACAGTGACCATTCACAGGCACTGACATAGCTCACTGAAGCATGGAAGTCCTCAAATGATCCTCCCACCTCAGCCTCCAAGTAGCTAGGACTAGCTCAGCTTCTAGGTGGCACTTTTCTTAAAGAGCGGGGTAGGGGGACATACCAATAAATAAGACAACCCCAGTTCATGAAGTCAGAATACATAACTAGCATCTATTGAATACACACTAGGTACAAGGTAGGTACTATGCAAAGCATTTTCCATGGATCCATTTCCTCATAGTCACCTCTCAGGGATGTTGCAGAAAATTCACTAAAGCCAACTTTATTTGTATACCACAGGTTCGGAGGTATGTGGCTTCCTCAGAGTCACACAATGGGCAAACCCTAAGAAGATTGGGTTCCAGAGCCTAGGACAGGAAGCCATTATCATTTTAAATGGGGAAAAACAGGGTGGGCTGTTGAAGGTCTCCCTGAGCCACTAACAAGAAGATTGAGTTGACAGGGGATGATTAGGAGTTAAAGGAAGACAAAGGAGGGACAGGAAGGTTATTGGAAAGTTCAGAGAGAAAACGTGGGATCTAGCACATGGTGGGTGTCCAATGAATGTGAGCTTAGTTTTCTATTGCTACTGAAGAAAATGGCTTAGGGTGGAAGTTTTCCTGCTGAGGTCTCTTACATCTTCCCCCATTCCTTTCCATCCTCCAGGTGGGCTTTAGTCTGAGCCGAGTCCGATCTGGCAGCTCCCGATCCTATTCAGTGAGTGGAGGGTGTATGGAGGGAGAGAGAGGAGCTGAGTGGCTAAGTGGTGTGTGTGTAGGGGGGGAGTCTATCTTCTGCATCTGTAACCCAAAGGCCTCTCCCTGTTCTTCTAGAGGCAGAAACAAGAAGAGCCCTGGGTGGATGGAGAGGGAGGCAGGGTAGAGCTGGGCCCATGGGAAAGGGTAACCAAGGTTCCTTCTTGCCCATTCCCCAGACCCAGGATTTTCATGACTGCCCTCTTCAGAAAAACAGTGGCAACTTCCTAGTCCTCTTCCTCATCAACATCAAGGATCTGCAGTGAGTTAGGGGGCGGGGAGTGCGGGGCTTGGTAATAACCATCATTTGTGTTTCCCTGGACATACCTGAGTCCACCAAGTGGAGTGAGAAGCATAGTGAGAAAGCCACTCACTTTTTAGTTTCACCTTCAGGCCTTCTGATTATTGGAAGGAAGGAGAGAGGAAAGTTAGTCAGGGAGTGCTGGGCTCCTAGGACAGAAGACCCAGATGTGGAGTTGCTTTGAGAATAAGTATACGATCATTCATATTTGATGCTTCTGGTATGCCAGGCATGTCCTGAGGGCTTTGACACATATAACACATCCAGCCCATATATTGTTATTGTCCTCATTCTTCAGATAAGTACACTGAATCCCAAGAACTGGTACAGGGATCTGACAATAGTGCTTTGCCTCTGTGTAGAGACACTGTTTTCTTTTAAAAAAATATAAGTAGAAAGAGTGGATCCACATCATGGGAAATGACAAATAATTTCTAGACAGCACACGAATATGGTAGTACATTGATAGGTGGTAGCTAAATGCTGAAACTTGGTGACTTAGCTAGATGCCAGCCTCCATGAAAGACATGCAGAGGGTCCCAGAAGTCATTGAGTCATTGAGCAAAGGTTGTGGGGTCATCTCTAGGGTTCAGCCTCCCATTCTCATTCCCCTGCCTCTCACCCCAGGGTTCAGGTACGAAAGTATGGAGAACAGCAGAAATTACTCATCTCTCCTGGGCTCCTCCCCGAAGTACCCTCAGAACCAGGGCTCCCAAAGCCAGAGTCCATGGTCACTCCCAAGGACAAGAGTGGTAAGTTATGTTGGCCATGCAGGAAGAGAGGGGTGGAAGGTCAGGGCTGCCCTGTGACTTTCCTCACCACCACTCCATTTTCCTGCCATCCCTCTGTCCACCTTTTAAAATCATTCACCCATCTCCTACAGGGACCACTGCAGTCAGCAAGGCCCAGTCACAGCCTACAGTGTCTCAGGTTTGGCAGAGCCAGGGCAAGAGGGAGAAAGGCCCACCCCAGGGTGTGGGTGTGGGTACCCAGGCCCAGCTGATGGAGGGGTTCTCTTCCCTCAGGGACCTGGTGGGAAGGACAAGGAGCTGGTGTTGGGTCTGGGCCACCTCAACAACTCCTACAACTTTAGTGTGAGTGTCTGTAGCACCTGCAGCCTTCCCACCCCCTCTAGAGTAGAGGACCACCAAGCTGAGCTCCTCTCTCCCCCAACTCTTCCTCTGCCCAGTTCCATGTGGTGATTGGCTCTAGGGCTGAGGAAGGTCAATACAACCTCAACTTCCACAACTGTAACAACTCAGTGCCTGGAAAGGAGCATCCGTTCGACATCACGGTGAGCAGAGGGTGGGCAGCAGTACCAGGGAGCACCCACCAGGAGTTTAGCTCTGGACAGCCCTCGAGTAGCAGCGAGAGGTAGCAGAAGGTGTTGAGAGATGGGCCAACTAAGGTTCAGGGAGGGCTAGTCATCCAACTAGAAAGCAGAACCTGGAGTGGTCTCACTAGGATTGTGCCACCACCAGTACCCACCTCTGTCCCCTCACCAGGTGATGATTCGGGAGAAGAACCCTGGTGGCTTCCTGTCAGCCGCAGAGATTCCCCTTTTCAAGCTGTACATGGTCATGTCTGCCTGCTTCCTGGCTGCTGGCATCTTCTGGGTGTCAGTCCTCTGCAGGAACACGTAATGCTCTTGCCCCTGGGAGTCCCCATCTCCCCTCACCAGACCCTTATCCCTGCCTCAAGACAATCTCTACTTCTCTCCCTGACTTTCCAACCAGGTACAACGTTTTCAAGATCCACTGGCTCATGGCAGCCCTGGCCTTCACCAAAAGCATCTCTCTCCTCTTCCACAGTGTGAGGACCTGGAGCTGGGGAATGAGGGGGCTTGTGGGAGGTCCATTTGGCCAACTGTCCATCCATTCCATCTGTCTGACTGTCCATTGTCTATCTACCTCCAGATCAACTACTACTTCATCAACAGCCAAGGTCACCCCATTGAAGGCCTCGCGGTTATGCACTACATCACGCACCTGTGAGTGGCCCCTGTCTGCCTAGCAGGTGCAAAGAAGTGGGCAAGGGAGGGCTGAGCCCACCTGACTTCATTATCATACCATCCCTCTGCTCCCCCAGGCTGAAGGGTGCCCTCCTCTTCATTACCATCGCTTTGATTGGCTCAGGCTGGGCCTTTGTCAAGTATGTCCTATCAGATAAAGAGAAGAAGATTTTCGGAATTGTTATCCCCCTGCAGGTGCATATGGGGAGGTGCCCAGAGGAAGACATAGGGGAGGGAGGCGCACAGGTCAGGCAGTGCCCACCTACCCTGCCCTGGCCACACAGGTCCTGGCCAACATAGCCTACATTGTCATTGAGTCCCGTGAAGAGGGCGCCAGCGACTACGGGCTCTGGAAGGAGATCCTCTTCCTAGTGGACCTCATTTGCTGCGGTGCAATCCTCTTCCCTGTAGTCTGGTGAGGACAGTAGCTGAGATTCTACCCTCTGTATCTATGGGTGGAACCACTGCTAACCATGCCCTGTGTACCCCTCATCCCAGGTCCATCCGGCATCTCCAGGAGGCATCTGGCACAGATGGGAAGGGTAAGACAATGCCCCTCAAAAACTCTGCGCACAGCCCACTTCTTTCTGTTTCTAGATACCCCTTCTGGCTTGTCTGCCCACCCCCTGGCCTGTGGCTCCCTGGGCCCCAGTCTGGCCTCTCTGCCACCCTAACATCCTCTGAAAACTTTCTGCCCCTTGGACACTCCCCCAAATGACCTCTCTCCCCCTTCCTCCCACCAGTCTCTTTTCCCTAACCCCCTCTCTATGCCCTCCCCTCAGTGGCAGTGAACCTGGCCAAGCTGAAGCTGTTTCGGCATTACTACGTCATGGTAGGAGCCTGCTGGCTCGTGGGGATGGAGAGTGGGGAGGGAGAGGGAAGCCAAGAGGGGACAAGGACAATCAGCCAGTCACCATCCCCTAACCTACTTCCCGGGATCTTGAGGCTCCTATCAGTCATCCCCCATTTCACAGTCCTTGTGGTCTCTCTGTCCCTTCTGTCCCATGACCACCTTGCTCCCACAGGTCATCTGTTATGTCTACTTCACCCGCATCATCGCCATCTTGCTCCGGGTGGCAGTGCCCTTCCAGTGGCAATGGCTATACCAGGTGAGTCTGGAGGCCTCAGGTGGGAGGGAGAGTGAGCCAAATGGTGGGGTTGGAGCAGGGGTGTGTCTGACCCTGTTCCCTCCTCCCTCAGCTCTTGGTGGAGGGCTCCACTCTCGCCTTCTTTGTGCTCACGGGCTATAAATTCCAACCTGCTGGGGACAACCCCTACTTGCAGCTGCCCCAGGTGGAGGAGGAGGATGTCCTGATGGAGCAAATGTAAGCTTGGGGGAAGAATGGGTGGGTTGGGGGCGGAGTGAGGGGTGGGGTTAGAGCAGCGCTGGTAATTGGACGGGGGTATGAAGGAGGGGCCCTGCTGTTCTAGAGAAGGGATGGGTGGAGCCAGGGTCACTCTGGTTTGGGGGTTAGGGCCACTGTAAGGACAGAGGTGGTGGAATGGTTGAGGTTTTAGGTAGGCGGAGCTGGGGCCCAGCGCATCTCCGGCAGAGTGGGTGGGGCTAGACAATTATAGGGGCGGGGTCAGGGCTGCTAAGGGGTCAGGGAGTAGAGTAGGTGGGGCCAGGGCAGTCCTAGGGGTCAGACCTGCTGCCCATCAGCTCTGATCAGCCTCCTTGCTGTCTCTGCCCAGAATGACTGACTCTGGGTTCCGAGAAGGCCTGTCCAAAGTCAACAAAACAGCCAGCGGACGAGAACTGTTGTGATCATCTCCACATCTGGGACTAGATGGTTCTTCTTCCCCACCTCCACCACTTCTCACTCCTGGCCCCCTCCTAAAGCACGGGTCGAGAGGTGTAAGGGGCCAGTGCGGAAAAGCCGCCTAGCTCCTTAGGACCAGGTTCTGGACAAGCCCATTCAGAAGAAGACAGAGAGTTCCTTCTTACTCCCTTGGTATTGGGCAGCCCTGTCCTCACTGGCGGACCCCCTCCCTTCCAACTGTAAAATAATGACCAGTCTGTTTTGCTACACTGTTTTCTTGCCTTTCTGAGGGTTGAGCTATTTAACACAGAGATTGTTTACAATTTAGAAAACTGTATTCACTGTGTGGGGAGGGGGCACAGTGTCCATTGCATAACACATTCACTATATATCAATTAAGCAACCACTGTGTGCTATACCAGGTGCTGGGGGTAGAGTAGTCCAAAACCCACCTGGTCCCAGTTCTCAGGGGGCTCACAGAACAGGGTGTGGGTGACAGGGAGAGGGACACATCACCAGGAAGTTCCATCACTAGGCCCCCAGACCCATGATGGTGGCTGCACAGGGCCCTGGCCCAGCATAAAGATCAGAGAAACAAGGGGAGAGTTCATGCCCAGGTGAAGGGATGGCATGCACAAAAGCTGGAGGCAAGAGGGGAAAATAACAATTTGAAGAGTGAAAGGTGAAAATAAAAATAATAAGTGGGTATAGTGGCTGACACTTGTAATCCCAGCACTTTGGGAAGCTGAGGCAGAAGCACTACTTGAGGCCAGAAGTTCAAGACGAGACTGGACAACATAGCTAGACCCTTGAAAGAATTAGGGTGTAATGGCAGGCACCTGTAGTCTCAGCTACTCAGGAGACTGAGGCAGGAAGATTGCTTGAGCCCAGGAATTTCACGTTGCTGTGACCTATGATGGCACCACTGTACTCTTACCCAGGCCACAGAATGAGACCCTGTCTCCAAAAAAATAGTAATAACAGAAGCTAACATGGCATGGCGATTGCTGTATGCCATACCTTTTGTGGACTTTGGGGACTGACTTTAACTTATTAAAAAAACTGTGAGGCATAGAGCAGCTAAATAACTGGCTTGCAGTCACACAGCTAATGAGTTTGTGGGAGGCCCAGGGCTCAAAGCTGAACACTACCCACTGCATGCATTGCTTCTCTGCAGCTAGAATCCCTGGGACCAAACCTCAGCCAGACTATTATTTATTGTCACTGGCTTAACCTCTCTGTTTCTCTGCATGTAAAATGGGTCTGCGTTAGTTTGTTCAGTGTCACCTATGATAATCAATGTCAGTGGCTCAGCACTGTGGCCAGCAGCACAGCCTTAGCCTGATCTCTAAAGAACCTGCCCTGAATCTTGAGGACTGACTACAGGTTAGAGATCCACCTGGGTACATGCTCAAGGGCTGGTTTCTAAGATGCTTCTCCCCCTCCCCCACCACCCTGCCGCCAATCACTGTTCAACTAGAGCACCCAGAACCCATTTTGAAGCACTAGGAAACATTTCTCACAGGCATGGGTCAGGGATAGGGAACAGGGCTGGGGTGGAGAGAAGTCTTCCTGTAAGTGGAAGCAAGCATAACTGAGGCTCAGATAAATAACTAGCCCCGCTGGGCAAAGAAGGAAGTGAGGTGGCATTGCAGGCTCAGGAAATCATGTGAAGAAGGTGGGGAAGTCTGGAATAAATAGCCCAGCTGGCTGGGGGCAGGAGAAAGGCAATAGTAGTTGGCAGGCACATTTGCGGTTTCATGCTGGTGCCCACAAGAGCCATGGAAGAAGTTAAAGCAGGGAGGGGAGCATCCATATAGAGTTCATGTTTCACTCCCTGTGCATGCTGTGGTAGGCAGTTACAGTGCCCCCCAGAGATGTGCCTGAGGATGTTTCCACTCATGGCAAAAGGGCCTCCATTGGTGGGATTAAATTAAGGATCTTAAAATGGTGAGATTTTAAGATCTGGGGCTAGCGGAGGGGGGTGGCCCAGTGTAATCACAAGAGTCTTTATAAGACAGGCAGGAGGGTCAAGATCAGAGAAAAAGATGCACTAACGAAAGCAAAGTCTGGGCTCAGTGCTTGTAGCTCAAGCGGCTAAGGCGCCAGCCACATACACCAAAGCTGTTGGGTTCAAATCCAGCCTAGGCCTGCCAAACAACGACAGCTACAACCAATAAATGGCCAGATGTTGTGGCAGGCACCTGTAGTCCCAGCTACTTGGGAGGCTTGAGCCCAGGAGTTTGAGGTTGCTGTGAGCTGTGACACCACAGCACTCTACCCAGGGTGACAGCTTGAGACTCTGTCTCAAAAAAAAGAGCAAAATCTGCAATGAGTCCAGGAAGGGGCCACCAGCCAAGGAATGCAAGGAGCTTCTAGAAGCTGAAAAAGACAAGGAAATGGATTCTTGTCTAGAGCCTCCAGAAGGGAACACAGCCCCAATTGACACTCTGATTTTAAGACTTCTGACCTCCAGAACTATAAGATCATGAATATATGTTGCTTAAAGCCCCCAAATTTGTGGTAATGTGCTACAACAGCAGTAAGAACTCATACAGTTTAAGAACACATGCTCTGGAGCCCAGCACACCCAGGGTCTTGGCCAAGATTACTGAAGGATCTTGGGCAAGTAGATGAAGCCTTGCCCATATCACAAAATCCCAAAACCAGAGATGTTGGCATGGATGTAGAGAAAAGGGAACACTTCTACACTGCTGGTGGGAATGCAAATTAATTCGTTCCTTTTGGAGAGACATCTGGAGAACACTTAGAGAACTAAAAATTGACCTGCCATTTGATCCTGCAATTCCTTTATTAGGTATCTACCCAGAAGACCAAAAATCGCATTACAACTAAGATATTTGTATCAGAATGTTTATTGCAGCCCAATTCATAATTGCTAGTTCATGGAAGAAGCCCAAGTGCCCATCGACCCACGAATGGATCAATAAATTGTGGTACATGTACACCATGGAATATTATGCAGCCCCAAAGAAAGATGGAAGCTTTGCCTCCTTCATGCTTACACGGATGGAACTGGAAAATGTTCTTCTTAGCAAAGTATCACAAGAATGGAAGAAAAAGTATCCAATGTACACAGCCCTATTTTGAAACAAATTTATAGGTTTCATAGGAATGTTATAAGCTAATTGTAGCCTTAGAATATGTGAAGGAGGGTGGGGAGGGTGGATAGGGAGAAGGAGGGTGATTGGTGGGGTCACCTCTATGGTTTATCCTACAAGGATACAAGTAAATCTTTCTAAAAGTGAAGTATAAATGTCTTAACTCAATAACTAAGAAAATGACATGAAGGTTATGTTAACCAGTTTGATGAAAGTATTTCAAAATGTATCTGAAAACCCCACACTGTACCCTGTGATTGCATTAATGTACACAGCTATGATTTAATTTAAAAAAAACTTTAAAAAAAAGTAGATGAAGCCTCTGTTTCTTCATCTGTAAAATGGGGTAGTAACATCTGAGGCATGTGGAGCAAGCAAGTTAAAATGTGTGAAATAGGTAAGATGCTGCCATAGGGCATCCTATAGGCATTTGGTGTCATGAGTAGGGTGACCAGATGTCCCGATTTTGGCGGGATAGTTCCACTTTTCAACAATTTGTGCCATGACCCGCAGTGTTTTAAAAAAGTCCCGATTTTTGGAAAGAATGCACGAACGGGCTGGAGAACAAGAAGGGAATATACGGTTTTCAGCCACCATATGGCTATTTCGCCAGAATATGAGTTTTATATTATTTTTGTTGATTTTATAATGTTAAACTGTAATAAATAATTGCTGAGAAGTGATTATCGAGAACTGCTTATCAAAGTTTGCCTTCTTGTCAGGCCCTGCTCTGCGCCCCCCGCCCCCGCTCCACCCCCCCCATGTTGTCCTGCCTTACATATGTTAGAATCTTGTCACCCTAGTCATGAGTGAAAATTGATGTCTTATATATCATAATTTTGTTACAGGAAAACAAAGATGGGCTTCAGAAAGAGTCCCTGTCATCCCAGCACTTTGGGAGGCTGAAGTGGGAGGATTGCTTGAGGCCAGGAGTTTGAGACCAGCCTGGGCAACACAGCAAAACCCCATCTCTAATTAAAATTTCAAAAAAATTTTAAATAAAAATTCTGTTCAAGCAAATTGAACATTCAGTATATGTGGGGTGCCAGGCTCAGGCTTCTCTTTGTCTGGTGCCACTGAACTCTCACTCCATGACTAGAAAGGATGTTCTGTGTCAACTGGTTTTCTAGTTGACAGATTGGGGACTGGCCTTGCCCAGAGTCTCCTACAGAGCAGGAATCCAAACCTCTGCTCCCTGCCTTCCCAGGGTGGGGGTCCCCATCCTCAGCCTCCACTATGCATATGTGGGAAGTGGGGGGAAGGAGCCATTGTCTCCTGGAAGATTGATCTAGCCTGGTCAAGGTTACCTGAAAGTTAATCATTAATAGGGTAGTTGGAGACCGGGGTGGCCTGGCTTTGTGTCCTGGAGGGAATAAAGGATATGGAGGAAAGTATCCCCGCTTACCCCAGGTGGAATGGGAGTGCCTGGGCCCCTATCCAGAAATCATTCCACTCCCTTCCCCTCGTTTTCTCTTTGCACCCCAGCTATAGTTGCCAGGCAAAATACAGGATGCCCAGTTAAATTTTAATTTTAGGTATGTAACAGATAACTTTTTCAGTACATATGTATTCCAAATACTCCACTAAAGGTGACCCCGCTCTTGCTTACTCACTCTCTTGACCTCTCCCTCTGTCAATGCCCAGAATACTGGGCTGGGCTTGGCGGGCCTTGGAACTGGAAATCCACCTCCCACCTCCTTCTCTCCCTCCTGCTCCTTATCTTAGGCACCATCCCTTCCCAAACCTCTGTACACATCCCCCAAGTAAACATCATGAGGGCTGAAGAATTCCCCCTCACCTCCCTCTCTACCAGTAGACATCGCTCCATTCCAGCCTTCTTCCCTCTCCTCACTTCCCAGATGTCCCTCAAGGTTTTCTGCATCTCCAGCACAACAGGCACTGGCACAATGACAAAACCATCAATTACTGATCCTTCCCTGAGTTGGGGGCTTCTGGAAATCTTGCATCATTTAATTGTGATATCAGCCAGAATGATTATCAGTCGCATTGCTCAGATAGATTAACTGAAGGTCCAGAAAAGAGGAACCATGCCCTGCAGCAAGAAAGAGGCCAGACAGGCATTTCCTTCTCCATGCATCAAACCAGGGAGCCTGAATGCTTAAGAGGTTAGGAGGAAACTAAGAA